CACCAATATCAAGAAGGACTTCAGTGGCATTCAAAATTAGAGCAATTGTTTCAATTATAGCAATTAATATTGCATACTCCATCTGGCATGAGGATTTATTAAAATTTCCTTCATGAATAATATATTCATCTCTATTTTTAGATTTAATTTTGTGAAGTTTTTTAACAGTTGCAAATGCAATAATTAGGAGATGATTATATTCTAATGAATTAATAGATATATTTTGTTTGTACTATCCTATAAATAGAAAGATACTTTCTCGATTTTAGAATGTTATAAATAAGAGTCTGCAAACTCAGCTTGCGCTCATACCAAAAAAAAATTTTAAGGTACTGGCATAGAACAAGCACAAAGTGTCTAGGATATTTGTGCTTATGAGTACTTTATACTTAACTTAAAAATATCAAATACTTATAAAAACAGGAACTGAGCACAAACATATTAGAAAAAATATAAGATTAAAAATTGGTAAATAATTAGTATCAAATAATACTGATCAAAATAAATAATTTGTATAACTTCATCCTAATTGAAGTTAGTCTAATTTTCTGCTGATTATACTAACTGTGTACTGGTTATTATCAGTATTTCAATAATAATAATCTTCAAGAATGCCAATAATCATTTAGCACATTTAATTAGGATAAACTTATATTGAATAACTATGTAATTTAAATAAATCTTTAATTAAATTTTGTTGTAGAAAAATACCAACACTAGAAAGAGTATAAAAATACTATTATGAAATACTATACCTTGTATGTATATGCAGCTAGTTAGAAAAAATTAGATGCAGATAAATTAACTGTTAGTGATGATGAACTTGAAAATATTCAAATTGAAGGATTAGTTAATTATCTTTCTAAAAAATATCACTTATGTTGGGATGAAGTTTCTTTCATAAAGACAATAAGGAATTAGAATTATTAAGTTCAAATTTATTAGATTATACAGAAGATCAATGTAATAATTTTCAGGAAATGCTAAAAAAAGTTTTCTATATCTCAACAAAGCAAAGTTTAGTAACTCATATACACACCTCATATAATGAAGCATTTAATAGGGTTAAGTTATGTTTTACAGATAAAAAAATTGATTATTGGAAAACATACTGAGCCTGACATAGACTAGCAATTTTATAATATAATTATAGTCTTTACTTAATATTAGAAACTCTACGATCAACTGATGAACTTAATATATTTTTAGCAAATAATAAAATAAATATTAATAAAATATCAAATAAAAGAATTAATCAAAATAAATACAACTCTGATAATATTAAAATTAGAAATCAAATATAAGCAGTAAGTATTAACAAGTATAAGAAAAATCTTAAAAAATTTGACTGGAATAAGGTGTGTATATATATTTTTTTTTTATTTGACTATTATTTTTTTTTTAAAAAAAATAATAATTATAGGACTATGTACTATATAGATATGCTATACAAGAAAAAATGCAGGCAATGGAATTTCAATCTACCTTTATGAATCATATTTTTGATTTCAGTAAATTGATAAAATGTGATGCATACTATGCATTTTCAAAATTTGCTAAAAGATTATGCAAGTATTATTATTTTTGTTAGAAGCATGGTTTGAATAATGAATTTACTGACAAATCATATATACTACTACTCTTATCTTCGGAGTTATTACTATTCTTATTACCCACTCTTGAAATAGCTCTTAGAGATATATTTGGTCAACAAAGTTTTAATGAAAATCAAAAAAAAGCAATTAACAACTTTCTTACAAGCTGAGATACTTTAGTATTCATTAGAACTAGAGAAAGAAAAATATTATGTTGTTGGATTTCAGCTTTAATATGTGGTGAGCTAATAGTTGTTATTAGTCCTTTGAAATCACTAATTGATAATCAAATAGTAAGTAATAGTTTAATATTATCTGATATGTCTTATACAAAACTGAATAATTTTATATCAATTTTTTCAGCTATCTTCTAATATAGTTATATAAATTTTCATTACCTTTTACAAGGTAAATAAAAATTTATATATTTGTATTAGAAAATGTAGCTGAATAAGTTTACATAAAAATCATTCAGTGCTTATATCAGACATGTCAGATAACCAGTTATCAGTCAAGTTATAGTAGATAATATTGTTCTATACTTGACTTTTAGCAATATCATAGGTATAATAACTGAGTGAATAATTAGTTATTATCTACAACATAACTATTACCTATTATAATACCTATTTAGTTAATCTCTTTTATAATACCAGATAGAAATAATCAATGCAGGAATTGCTTGCACTAGAATTTATATTAGTGAATACCATTCTCCAGACTATATGGAGAAGATATTTTCTGAAATATTAGCTAGGCTAACAAAAATATTATTTGTTACTGCAGAAATCTTTGTAAAAAACAAATCAGTTACCTTAATATTACAACAAATAGTTGAAAAAAATCTTTTATCATTCGTAATTAATGAAATATAATGTATTGTTGAATATAAACATTTTAGGTATATAGTTAAAGGTATTTATGTAGAGTCTT